GCAAATGGTCACAGAACAGGTTAATGTCCTTGACGGTTTGCAAGATCGCGTGCTTTGTCACGTCCACTGTCTGTTGCACCTGCTGTCTCGCACTCGCCACTGCTCCTTCCTCCCCGTTGTTCTGCTGCTTCTGCGGCTGCTTCTGCGGCTGCTTCTTCGCTGACGATGGCGCCGGCTCCATGGCTGCTTCGCCGGCCTGCATGTGCAACACCCCAACTGCGTTTCGATAATGCTCCATCAGCGCTTGCAGCAGCTCTTGCAGCTGCGTCACGCGGTCCCCCATGGCTGCTCCTGGTTGAGGGAAGGGGGGGGGGCGGGGTTAAGTGGGTTGTGTGACGTGAGACGTGAAGGCACAGGTGCCGGTGCGAACGGTGACAGCGGTGCGAGTGCTGTTGTTGAGTGGTTGCTGTCTCTCTTCTTCTTGTCGTTTCGCTGCTTCGTGGTCAACGCCTGAATTCAGTCGCGTGGTTTTGGCGCGCAGCGCTCAAAAACCGCCAACACCGCTGATGAAGACGAAGAACACAAACCTGACACCATCATCATCTTCATCATCAGCCAGCCAACACCGCCACTCGACGCACGACAGGACCAAAAGGCAAGGACAAGGCAAGGCGGATAAGGCAAGGCAACAGCAAGAGGCGAATACACACATTTACACACACACACACACAAGATGGAGGGTGGCTACACGATGGACCGGTTTGAGAAGACGGAGAAGCTGGGCGAGGGAACATATGGCAGTGTGTACAAGGCCATTGACAAGACGACCATGGCAGTGGTGGCGCTCAAGAAGATCAAGCTCAACGACCAGGAAGAGTTTGGGGTCCCAGCGTCTGCCCTGCGGGAAATTGCTCTTCTTCGCGAACTCGACCATCCCAACATTGTCCAGTGAGTGTATTGTGATGTGTGGTGATGCCTGTGTGCGGTGATGTGTGTGGTGATGTGTATAGTGATGTAGTTTGACGATGTGTGTACAGTCTACATACGTGTATACTTGCGCCTGTGCACATGTACACGCACGCGCAAGCGAACATACCTGTGCACACACGTATGCATACTGATGCACGTGGATGCGGCAAGCACGCACAGCTCCATGGTCCCTGCCACTGATCGATGTCATGCCACGTCTTGTCTTCTTCCTTCCGCCTGATTTCGTCCCCCCCCCCTCCTTGTCTCCCCTCCTTTACAAGGCTGTTGGATGTGATCCCTTCGTCCTCGGAGCTGCACTTGATCCTGGAATATGTGTACGAGGACCTGCGCAAGTTCATGCACCGCGTCAAAGTCCTGGAGCGCCCCATGTACCAGTCGTTCCTGCGGCAGCTGCTTCTCGGTCTGGAGTACTGTCATATCCACCGCATCCTTCACCGCGACCTCAAGCCAGAGAACCTGCTCATCAACCACCGCACGGGCGCACTGAAGCTGGCAGACTTTGGCCTTGCGCGCGCGTTTGGCATTCCAGTGCGTGCCTACACACACGAGGTGCGTGAATTTATGCTTGCGTGCGAATGTGTGCATGTGTGTTTGTGTATGTGCGCGTGTATGGGTGTGTGCAGAGTGTGTGCCTGTGTGCATATTTGTGTGTGTGTGCAGAGTGTGTGCCTGTGTATATTTGTGTGTGTGTGTGTGTGCAGAGTGTGTGCCTGTGTGTTTATTTGTGTGCGTGCACGTGTGCGTGCGTGTGCGTATGCGTGGCGTGTGTGCCCGCATGTGAACGTGTGGTAAAGGCAATGTTGTTATGCCGCTCGCGGGCACATTCGCAACGAAGGCTTTGCTGTGCAGCCATGCGCTCACGCTGTCACGCTGTCATGCTACTGGTGCTGGTGCTGGTGCCACTCACTCCTGCTCTCAGGTGGTGACGCTGTGGTACCGTGCCCCCGAGATCCTGCTGGGATCAAAGCAGTACGCTTGCCCTGTCGACATGTGGGCTGTGGGCTGCATCTTTGCGGAAATGGCGTCCTCAAAACCGCTCTTCCCGGGCGACTCAGAGGTGGACCAGATTATGCGCATCTTCCGCTATCTCGGCACACCCACAGAGAAGACATGGCCAGGCGTCTCCAACCTCCCAGACTTTAGGGTGCGATGTGTGTGTGCGTGTGCACTTGCGCGTGTGTGTGAGTCTGAGTGTGAGATGGTCGTATTGTTTGCACTACCTGTTGTTGGACAAGGTGTCAACTTCCTCAAGCATGCTCGTCCACATACACACTCACACACACATGCACACTCACGCACATGCACACTCACGCACGCATATACACTCCACACACACACACATGCACACTCACGCGCACACATGCACACATGAGCGCAGGCAAACTTCCCGCGCTTTCCGGCCATCGACCTTGCGCCGATCGTACCACAAATGGACCCTGTCAGCATGGCTTTGCTGCAGGTGAGCACGTGTGTGCGTTGACGTACATGTGGGTGTGCATACGTGTGTATGTGTGTGCGAAATGTCTAGCGCTGCAAGCATCTGGTGCATTGCCCATTCCACTCAACGCTTCTTCTTCCCGCCCCGCACTCGCACACACACACACCCACACATCGTCTTGTCCGACTTCTTTTCCTTTTTTGTTGCAGCACATGTTGGTGTATTTGCCTGCGTCCCGCATCCCCGCCAACCAGGCACTCAAACACCCGTTCTTCCAAGGGCCCGAACACGACTTTGCTGCCTCTGCTGCAGAACAACAACAACAACAACAACAACAACAACAACAACAACAACAACAACAACAACAACAACAGCAGCAACAAGAGGAAGAAGCGGACAGCACTGCCACAACCTCACCGTCGTCCACTGCGACAACAACGGCAGCAGCGAACAACTGAAGTTTGCGGGCAACGCGATTTTCGTCTGATATCTTGCACTAATTGTCCTCTTGTTTCTGTTGTGCCAACGCGAATTTTCAAAATTGGCGGGCGAATAAATAATTTTTTTATTCGACAACTTCATCGTCTCCCGCGCACGGCTTAAACAGCGCAACCGCCAACCACAACACTCTCAACGAACTCCGCACACACCACAAAGGCACTGACCGACCGCACTTCTTTCTCCGCACACCCCCGCACCAAGTCAGCCAGCCAGCCAGCCAGCACCCTCGTTCCATCGACAGCTACAGGTGAGCTGATGAGCAGAGGCGGCACTGTTGTGGACGAGGGTAGCTTGGGAAGCGAGTGGGGAGCTGGGAGAGGAGAGATCAAGCAGAGAAGGAGCGAGGAAGCAAAGGTGTTGGTTAGCGCCATAGCGCGCCCGCCATCCAACGGTCATGTTGGAGCGGAGGCAGGCGGTGAGGGGGGAACACGGTGCGGCAACTGTGCACACACATTCTCGTTCGTCTTACATGGCGACAGACTCAGCCGCGCTCCCCATGTGTTGACCTGCTTGCCCTGCCCCTCTATTTCTGTGCTCTCTCTCGCTCACTCACACACACACACACTCTCGCTCCCTCTCTCTGCCCCTCTGTCCTTGTGTGTGCATCTAACCAATCCACGCCAATGCAAACACGACGCAAACACGACGTACACAACTCAAACACAATGCCAACACAAGAACAGACACATCCACAACCACCAGCAGTCATGGACCGCTATGAGAAGATTGAGAAGATTGGCGAGGGTACCTACGGTACCGTGTACAAGGCCAAGCTCATCACATCCGGCGAGCTTGTCGCCCTGAAGAAGATCAAGCTGGAGACAGAGGAGGAGGGCGTCCCTTCCACTGCCATCCGTGAGATTTCCCTTCTCAAGGAGCTCAACCACCGCAACGTCGTCAGGTTAGCGGAATGACGCCACTCGCGTGTCGCGAGCACCACCACCACTCTTTGTTTCCCTCGTCATTTGAGTTCTGTGCCGCTTTGCCTTCTTCCTTGCACTATGCCCCCTCCTCCTTCATGATCGTCTTTGTCTTTCCGAAGGAGGAAATGAAAGAAGGAGGAAGAAAGGAAGGCGAGGAAATGGGGGAAAGCGGAAAAGAGGGAAGATGTGTGTGTGTGTGTGTGTGTGTGTGTGTGTGTGTGTCTTTTTCTTCCCTTCTCCTAATCCATCCACTCATCTCCCCATCACATCCTCCCTTCGTCTCGTGTCAGGCTGATTGAGGTGATCCACTCTGAGCACGACCTCCACCTCGTGTTTGAGTTCCTCGACTGCGACCTGAAGAAGCACATGGAGGTTTCCCGTCAGCTCGCCCCAGACCTCGTGCGCTCGTACCTCTTCCAGCTCCTCAAGGGCATTGAGTTTTGCCACACCCACCGCATCCTCCACCGCGACCTCAAGCCCCAGAACTTGCTCATCGACAGCGATGGCAACATCAAGATTGCCGACTTTGGCCTCGCCCGCGCCTTTGGCATTCCCGTCCGCGCCTACACCCATGAGGTGCGCTTTCTCTGAGGATGGTGGCGCGGTGGAGCGTTGCAGTTGATATATATGTGTGTGTGTGTGTGTGTGTGTGTGTGTGTGTGTGTGTGTGTGTGTGTGTGTGTCCTGATCGTTTTTGTGTCTGCGTCAAGTGTTCTTCATGTCCCTTATCGTTTTATCTCTGCCACCATTGGCGCCATGACAACGCAACAGGTGGTGACACTGTGGTACCGCGCCCCCGAGATTCTGCTCGGTGCGCGCCAGTACGCGTGCCCTGTCGACATCTGGTCCATTGGCTGCATCTTTGCGGAGATGGTGACCACCCGCCCGCTCTTCCCGGGCGATTCTGAGATTGACGAGCTGTTCCGCATCTTCCGCTACCTCGGCACCCCGAACGAGCACGTCTGGCCTGGCGTCTCCGAGCTCCCAGACTTCAAGGTGGGGTGGTTGCCCATTATGTGTGTGAGTGTGTGTGTGTGTGTATGTATGTATGTATGTATGTATGTGTGTATGAATGTGTGTGTATATACTTGCGACCGCGTATCGGTTTGAGCTCATTCCCGTCCCCTCTGTACCTCATCCCTTCCTCCCAACATACTCACACGATACGCAAACCCAATCACTGCGCGCTCTGCAGACAACGTTCCCGCAGTGGAAGCGCCAGGATCTGGCCAAGCTCGTCCCCGGCCTCGACCCAACTGGCCTCGATCTCCTCGAGGTGCGCCCTCCAACGCGTGACGACACGTTGTGTGTGTGTGTGTATGTGTGTGTGTGTGTGCAATGTTGTGTGTATTTTGTGTTGTATGTGTGTGTATTTTGTGTTGTGTGCCACATCGTCCCACTGTAATCTCACTCGCCTCCCTTCTACACGCCGCCTCCCTGGTTTACCCCAACAGCAAATGCTGCGCTACGCCCCGTCGGCCCGCATCTCAGCCACCCGCGCCCTGCGTCACCCGTACTTTGCCGCCTACAACGCCTGAGAGCTGCTGTTCTTCGCAGCGGCGCCACAGCTTCAGTGCCTGCAGGCAACCACCAATGCACGAACGCAAACGTGCATCGTGGTCATTGTTCTGTTCAGGCTTGACGTGTGCAGTGTGAATGGTTTTGACATGAAATCACTTTGCCGTGACGTTGACGCGACGTAGAAGCCAATGCTATTGTTTTCTTCCTTCCTATCTCAGAAAGCCACATGGCCATAACACAAGTAAACTCGATCCAATCATCAACACACGATGAAAGCTATGCACGGGCACAGCCATGACGTTGGATCGCGCAATGACAGCGTTCACACAAGCCACACTTTCACACTTTCACACTTTCACACTTTCACACACTCTCACATTTTCACACACACACCACAAACCACAAGCCACAAATCACAACCTTGCTCGCACAATCGCGGATGCATACAACCAAAAAAGTACAAGCCGATTCACGTGAGTGCACGAATATGCACAAACGCGTGGCAGTCACAGTCACAGTGACAGCCGCATCACTTCTTTGCTGCTGCGGGAGGAGCAAAGTTGAAGCTGAACGTCGCAATGCCAGCAGCAATCGCGCTCACACCATCATCTTGTTGTGAGTCACCATCCTCCTCACCCATGTCCTGTGTTGCCTTGTCCTTCCCATCACCATCTGCAGTTTCAGGTTTGGCGGGCACGTCCTGCCTGCCATCCTGGCCGCTGCCACCGAAGTTGAAGCTGAACGTCGACACAGAGCCCCGTCCAGGTTTGTTGACATGTGTAGAAGCGCTGCTGCTGGTGGTGGTGGTGGTGGTGGTGGCAGCAACGGCATTACTACTGCTGCCGCTGCTGCTGTTGTTGTTGTTGCTGCTGTTGCTGTTCGCCTGCTTCGGCTTGTTCTTCTGTTTTGTGTTGTTGTTGTTGTTCTTCTTCTTCCTACCACTACCTTGCCTGCCGCTTTGCTTCCTCCCTGTCGCCGCGTCCTTGCTGCTGGTGCTGCCCTGGTTCGCATCTGCCCCGTTCTCGCGTGCCTTCGCCTCAAGTTGCTTCAGGGACGCAAATGTCGAAAACCCAAACGTGCGGCGAGCAAGCGGTGGTGGCGCTACACCCGTTGTCGTCCGTGCTGTGTATGACAACGGTGAAGATGATGACGCCGATGATGCCATTGTATGGGATGGTGTCGGTTTGCGGCTCGCGCGCCGGAGAAAGAACCCTTGAATCTCATCCGCTTCCAATGGGCCATCGACCTCTTCATGCCGTTCACGAACATCGGCTGGTACACCGGGCTGCTGCCGCTGCTGCTGCTGCTGATGATGATGATGATGTTGTTGTAGCTCTTGTTGTCGCTCTTGTTGTTGCTTGTGTTTCGCCTGGTGCGCTTCCCGCTTCGTCTTCTTCTGTCGGCGACGGGATTTCTTCTTGTTGTTCTTGTGTCTCTCTGCGCGTGACCGCTGCTGCTGCTGCTGCTGCCGTTGTTGTTGCTGTTGCTGCTGCTGCTGTTGTTGTTGCTGTTGTCGTTGTTGTTGCACTGGTGGGGTGGGCTGTGGCTGCTTGTCAGCTTCACCAGTAGCCGTGCCAGCACCCCTGCCTTCCGGCTGACTGCCTGTGACACGCTGCTTCATCGTCGGTGTGTCTGCCGCATGAGCTGTCTTTGCACGCCCACTCGTCTCCGCTGCGCCTTTCTCTTCCATGCGCGAGCCAACATGAGGTGATGTGATCCGTGGTTCTGATGGCGCGTTCGCGCTGCTTGCTCTCGCACGACAACTTCCGTCAGCACGTGGTGGTGATGCTGCCATCATCTTCTCTTGTTGCTGCTGCTGCTTCTGCTGCTGCTTGCTCTGCTTGTCCCGGCTTCCGTGCCCTTGCTTCTCCTTTGTGGCTGGAGGCGGTATTGTGGATGCTGGTGACGGCGCAAAGTTGAAGGCAAATCCAGCTGTTGGCGCGGGTGCAGCAGTCGCACGCGTCGTTGTCGCTGTCGTTGTCGTCGTCGTCGTTGTTGTTGACGTGGCACCAGGGGTTGTTGTTGCATGCGCATTGGTGGCATCCACGCTGTCCCCCTTGTCGCTCTCACCGCCACTTGCAACACCAACGACGTAATTGCTGTCATCAGTGCCCTCTGCACGTGTGCAGTGGGTCTGGCTTGAAGTAGCCTCTGCGGTCTGCTCGTGCGCGCCTGCTGGCTGCTGCCCTTGCTGTTGCTGTTGTTGTTGTTGGCGCAGTCGAGCCTCCCGCTTGGCGCGACAAAGCCTGTCATTAGCATTGAAACGGGGAAGCACATGGCGGTGGCACAGCACACTCGAGTGAGTCTGATGCATTCATTGCAGACAGAGCCACGTAATCTGACGTGGGTAAAAATATGTGAGTGTGTGTGTGTGTGTGTGTGTGTGTGTGTGTGTGTGTGTGTGTGTGTGTGTGTGTGTGGTTGTGTGTGTGCGTGTGTGTGGGGGGGGGTGGTGGGTGTCTGTGGGTGTGGGATGTGTGTATGTGTGTGGGTGGGCGTGGTTGTGTGAAGCAACTTCTGGCCTCACCTGAAGAAGCCTTCGTTGGATGTGCCGGCACGTGTTGTGACCTTCTTGATTTGCACATCACGTGCTGTGGGCCAGGCAAGCAGGTGTGGATATCAAGGTGGCAGATGAGCTACAGGTGAGAATGGACAGGTGGGTGGAGCTTATGTGCAGCGTTGTAATAGCGAACGCGACGACGCACGAGGGCGCTGGCTCGCGTACATGCGCACCCGTTTGCGTGTGCACTCGCGCAAACACAAGGCACAGCTGCAGCACTCGGGGCGCACTGACCTGCAGCATGCTTTGGTTGTTCGTTGCTCTTCATCAGGGCGCGGTAGTCCCCAAACGCCTTGCTCATGGCTGCCCGCTTCTGGATCTATCAGCAGGTGTATTTGTGCGTGTGTTTGTGCGTGCGTGCGTGTGTGCATGCGCGTGTTTTGGGACGTGGTGAGCAGTTGCCATGCTGGTTGGTTGGTTGGTTGGTTGGTTGGTTGGTTGGTTGGTTGGTTGGTTGGTTGGTTGGTTGGTGTGCCGGTCGTAATGAAAGCCACAATTAGCAGGGCACTCACAATGTTCTGCTTTGGTGACTTGAGCGTCCGCAACACTTTGGCCGCGTCCATCCCTTTGCACAATGAGTGAGCGAGTGTGTGTGTGTGTGCGTGAGAGAGAGCGAGAGAGAAAAACAATGAGTGTATGCGCACATGACCTGTGTGCGCAGATGAGCCGTTTGCTGCCTCTTTGCATGACTTACTGCCTTTGGGCCGAAATCCGCATTGCAGCTGTCGAATGCACCAGTCCAGTTCCTCTTCAAACGCACCTCCCTGATGGATACAAGAAATAATCTCGTTTGTGAGAAGAGAACCACTCATGACGCCACCACTGGGGTGTCTGAGCCAGCACGACAGAGCAGACTTCACACCCTCACTCTTCCACCAAGCACATGTCAGCTCCACTTACACCGCCTCTCTCATCAAAACTGACTTGTGTCGCAGGGCTGGACGAGCTGCCGCTTCCCTTTCCGCTCTTGGACGGTGGTGGTCGACGCCGACGCTTGTTGCGAGGCGGTGGCGGCATGGTGCTGTGTGTTGTGGTGGTGGTTGTGTGTGTGTGTGATGTGGTGTGTGCTTCCGTGACACTGTGTTCCTTGCTTCCTTGCTGTTCCTGTTCTCGTTGTTGTTGTTGTGCTTCCCACGTGTAGTGGTGGCACGACTTGTTGCACAATAAATTAGACCCAATCCTTTGCGTCCTGCAATTTGCAAATGAATGTTTTGCCCTGTGGAAGTGCACCAAATGCCTGCAGGCACACAACACAGCAAAACTCACCAGCAAACTCGCTTTCCAACCGCCTGACAGACCAGCAGTCCTTGTGTTTTTCTCGTCGTTGCCTTCTTGCGACCGTTGGCTTGCTTGGTGTGTGTCGTCCTTACGTGTTGCGCCACCCACAACCACCCACGCATCTCACATCAACAACCACACCAAAAGCGAGCTCCTTCATCATCAAAGCCCCCATAACAACACCAATAACCAACCAACGCACCGCTTTGTTGTGTGTGCGTGTGCGTGTGTGTCTGAGCGGTGGCTGCTGCTGCTGCTGCTTCCATCCATCCAAACAAACAAACGAACACGCAAACAAACACCCCACAAACGCCACTTCTCCGCTGGCTCTGACAACCAGCATCATGGCACCACCACCACGTCAATGGTGTTGGGCCTTGGATTTCCTCCTACTCTCACTCTTGTTGCTCGCCACAACTCCAAGCCAAGGTAACAGCCGCGCGCGTGTGTGCGTGTGTGTGTGTGTGTGTGCGTGTGTGTGTGTGTGTGTTCGCTCCTGCTTTGGCGTGCACACACGCACGCATTTCTTTCTGCTGTTCACCCACAATACATCATTGCGTGTTGCGCTGCGATCCCCTTCCAATCCCACTCCTTTCTTCCGACCCCCTGGTCGACGTCCTCAACACCAGTGGATGCCTTCAACAGCGAGTGTGGAGCAAACTACAGCCCTGATTCGCCGTGCGCACACTCCTGCTGTGCTGATGTATGTCTGCACACCCACAAACCCCAAATGGACACTGCATCAAACATGTTGGCAAGCCGCCGTCACTCGCTCGCCCGCTCGCTTGCACCCCTTACGCTTTCACACTCGCACGCTCACATCCTCATGTTCATACACCACACACACACGCACATACACACACACACATAATCTCTCGCTCTCTCCCTCTGTCAAAGTACGAGTTTACGTCAAACACATGCATCGAGGATGCCACGGCCCCGATGGGATACCGGTGCGGCTGCTCTTCCCCATTTGTCTCAGCAGACAGCGACACAGAATGCGTCTGCCAGGCATCCTGCGCCTCTGGAACAATCGTACGTTGCATGAACACAATTGCTTCGCCTGCGCGCTTGTGTTCTTCTCCCTCCCGACGTCCTGCCCATCGGCCACACACACACACACACACACACACACACACACACACAGCCCCGATGGGATACCGGTGCGGCTGCTCTTCCCCATTTGTCTCAGCAGACAGCGACACGGAATGCGTCTGCCAGGCATCCTGCGGCTCTGGAACAATCGTACGTTGCGCGTACACACACACACACACACACACACACACACACACACACACACACACACACACACACACACAATACTCATACGCGCTCACTTTCACACACACACATTCCCCATCATGCACACGCAACTGCACCACCGCGTGCGCTTGCTCGCTTCAGTCGGCCGACTGCTCGCGGTGCGAGTGTGAGCCGAACCAAGGCTGCAAGGGTGGCCGATGTCGACGCTACATCACGTCGACTGGGGATGAGCCCTTGGCTTGGTTCGACGACTTCCCGCCCACGTGCACCAACTGCCAATGCCGTTAGTCGCACTCGCCTTGCAACACTTGTATCCTCCGTCGTGCCTGATGCTGCGTCTATGAATCTGGCTGTGGGGCTCACATGAGTCTTCGCCTCGCCCAATCAAGCTCACGATTCCTCACCGCTGGTGTGACTTGCTCATTGACACCTCCCCCAAACACACACACACCCCCAAACAGTTGACATCGACTGCAACACGACATACTCAAACGCCTGGCCAGACAGTATTGTAAGCAAAACCAATTCACCTTCTGCACGTGACACACACACACACAACCATACACACTTGATCGTTACAACACCGCCTTTGAACCCTTGCGCCGCGTCTGCTGTCTGAACATGTTTGTGCAACACGGTGATGACTGTCTGGAACACTCCTCCCGAGTGCAATTTACGAATGTGGCATTTCGTTTTTACAATGTGTTGCTCCTGCAAACCAACTTTACACACCACTTGCCACCACCAACCAGGGCTACTGCCGATGCCTCAGCGCGCAGGCGACATGTGATGTGTTTGGATGCCAGAGCGGACACATCTTGTATGGGCGCTTCATCCGCCTCTTTCAAGAGTCCTGCGAAGAATGCGTTTGCAGTACGTTTGAGTGTTGTGTTGTGCTGTGTGGTGTTGTGTTGTGTGTGCGCGCATTCGGGTGGCTGTGCGATGTGATGCGTGATGCGAATGTGACGGCCGTGATGCGTGCCACGTGCTGCCCGTGAGTGTCGGGCGTGTTCATTCTACTGTGCGGTGCTTGTGTCACTTCTGCTTTGGGCTCACGTGTTGTGCCTGGACGCCCAACCTTCAACCCCACCCAGATGAAGCGCAACCCGCGTGCAGTCAGCCCGGCATCAACCTCGCCGATATCCGTGACGACTGGGTGCGTACCGACACGCCTCAATGCCTTCTTCACCGCATGTACCCTCATCCTCCTCCGCCACACATGCAACGGACGTGGGCACGGTTCCACAGCTCTTCCTTCTCTCGCCTTGGTTCATGCACCTCCAATCACACAGGCACTCTATGCATACCTACTGTCACGTTTTGTGTTCTCTCCACGCATTCACACGCATTCACGCGCATTCATGCGGCTACTACAGGTGTTTGAGGGCAGCTTGGACTGCACGAGCGGCGACCCGGAGCCATTCACCCTCACGGATCTCCGGTGGGAGGACGGGCAGGTGACGGCGTCCATCTACACAACAGTGTCCGGCCACATTGGCGGATGGAAACTCCGGTCATCGTTCTTCAACAACGACACAGGCTGCGTATACCTTGATAGGGAATCAGGCTGGGTGATCAACCCAAACAATGGTGAGCTCAGCCAGCACAGTTTCATGCTGTGCCGTGAACCAGCACTGCGCTGCATCATGGCCTCATGCTGGATGAAAACGGAAGCCCCGCACCTGCACACACACACCGACTCGAACAACCCTCACACTCACGCACCGTGGCACTGGTTCCTTGGTTTCAGGTGATGACGTGAAGAGATACAGCCAGGTGAGCTTGCGCGGTCAGTTTTACAACGACGGCACGACGCTGCGGTTTGATGGCCTCATCCCGGAATGCAAGAGCTCCCCACTCGCATCCTCGCTCGCAGGTATGCTGCAGACTTCTTTCGCTCGTGTCTTTGTGTGTGTGTGTGTGTGTGTGTGTGTGTGTGTGTGTGTGCGTGCGTGTGTGTGTGTGTGTGTGCGTGCGTGTGTGTGTGTGTATGTGTGTGCTCTTCTTTCGTCTGTCCCCACACCCTCGCCTTTGTCGCGTGTGTGTCGCGGGTAAGAGACCTTGTTGCTGGCTCAACACCACGCGCGACAACAACCCTACCCAATCAACCCCCCCCCCCACACACATTTTTCCTTTTTATTCTGCTGCAGCGCCTTGCGACTACAATACGGAATACAGGAACTATCGCGGCATCTGCACACCTCTCAGCGACTGCGGTGTTGGCTACCAGATTCTCACGCCTGCCACAGAAACAACGGACAGGTGCGTGTTCTTTGGCGCTGACTGCTGCCCTTTGTTCCTTCCACATTCGACGTCGTTGCTTCGGCAGTGAGATGGAATAGCAGCGGAAGCACCAACAAAGAGTAAGAAGCGCGTGACAGTCGGCGAACACCACGCTCACTTGCACACCATCGCAAACGCTTTATGCCTTTTCGCTCGTGCTCTGTGGTCTTGCATGTATCAGGGTCTGTGCGCCGTGCACCACAGGCACGTTTGCAGATTCGCTCAACCAGGACGAGTGCACTGCTTGGACCAACTGCGTGCCCGGCAACGAGGAATCGGTGTGTGCGTGCGTGCGCGTGCTTGTACTGTTGTTGCTTCATCTTGTTGTCTTGGCGATGTTGTTGTTGGTGTGCGTGTTTTGGTTTCCTTGCTGTCGGTCCACGACTGGCGTTGTATGCTCTTACATATCGCTTCACATGCGTTCTGTCGTCAATACGCGCCTCACCATTTGTACCTGTGCTTGCGTGCATGTGCATGTGTGTGTGTGTGTGCATGGCATCAGGTTGCGCCAACGAGCTCAAGTGACCGTCAGTGCATTCCATGTGGAAGTGGAACGTAAGCTGTGCTGCTACCTGCTTGGTTTCTGCTCCACCGCGCACGGAACCTCAAAGCAGACACACACACACACACACACATGCACACGCGCGCGCGCACACACACACACACACACACACACACACACACACACACACACACACACACACACACACACACACACACGCCCCTCCCTTTTCTCCCTCACGCACAAATCAAGTAAACACACTCCTCATTCACGCCTCAAACCGCACACACGTTTGCCTCCCTATCCGGTACTCAGGTACTCTGACACGGTGAATGCGGAGTCGTGCACATCGCACAAACAGTGCCCGACTGGCGAGGCGGAGGTTGTGGCCCCAACGCCATCCTCTGATCGCGTCTGCAGCACCTGCGATGGCGTGAACACATATGAGGCGCCCGATGGGGACGGATGCATCGACATCTCGCGCTGTGATCCCGGTACTTACGAGACAGCCGACCCCACACTCTCCTCTGACCGGTGGGTTTTCGAACTGAAACCAAGTTTGGCCTTTGTTGCAACCCGCGAGCGCTGCTCGCTGTTTCTGCGGACCTGCCAGTGTAGTTTTCATCCATCACCGTGCCCACTTGTCTTCCCCCATCCAAACTACACATCCTCTGACGTGTGCATGTGTGTGTGTGCATGTGCGTGTGTGTGCAGGATGTGTGCGGCGTGCCAGAGCGGCAAGTACCAGAGTCAGCCAGACGAAGAAGAGTGCATCCCCTTCACCACGTGCCACGCAGGCTCCTTTGTCACCCTGCTGCCCACATCCAGCTCCGACAGGGTCTGCCAGGCATGCGACGGTGTTCTGCGGTATCAGGTATGCGCAGCATTCACGACGGGTACGCAGTTGCTTTGGCGCGAGTGGTGGGCTGTTGGCACGGTTGCATTCGAAAGCGAGCCTACACGAACCAGCCTGGGTGACGTGCACGTGTTTGGATGGGTGAATTGACAATCGCGTGTGCATCTGCCATTCACACCTGTTCTTGCATGAACACCCCTCCCCACTCATCCTACGCATGTACACTCATGCCTTCATCACTGCTTTGCTGCAGAACGAAACGAATGCGCTCTCGTGCAAGTCTGTGACGACGTGTGGCTCTGGTCAGGAGGAGGCGGTGCCGCCGACGCCAGCCAGCGATCGGTCGTGCGTCAACTGCGTTCTCGGCGAAACCTTCAAGGTATGGCATTCAACGCAAACACATGATACCTCTCCGCACTGCTTACGCGTTGAGCCAAGGCGTCACCCATTGCGTGGTGCGTGCTTGTGTGCTTGTGTGCTTGTGTGCTTGTGTGTTTCTGCGTTTGTGCGCGCGCTGCCTGTTACTGCTTGCTGGTTCATCCCTGACTCACTGGCACTGTCCTTCGCACAACAACCACAATGAATGCAGGTGGAGGCTGGTAGCTCCACACGTTGCAACAATGTGACCACGTGCGATGCAGGCACCCAGGAGAATACTGCGCCAACCATCTCCTCAGACCGCCAATGCGAGGTGTGTGTGCGAGTGCGTGTGCGTGTGTGTGTGTGTGCGTGTGCGAGTGTGTGTGTGCGTGTGCGAGTGTGTGCGAGTGCGTGCGTGCGTGCGTGCGAGTGTTGGTGTCTTTTCTGTGTGCGAGTGTTGGAGTTTGTGTGCTGGCTCTGACAGCCTGTGCGCCTGCTATGAGCAACCCCCCTTTTAACTTCACGTCTCGCAAATGCCTTATCAACTCCCTGTGCTGCGTGTCATACAACAGCCATGCCCAAGCGGATCATACAAGGAAACAGCAGGCAACTTCCCCTGCCGCGTATCACCGCAGGTGAGCTGCCCTTTTTCCTGTGCCTGCAGGCAATGGGATGGCTTGTTCTTTGACGAATTGTTCATCACACTCTTATTCATCGACTCGGGGGGGTTTTTTTTTTGTCTTGCTGCAGTGCTCCATTGGCAAATATGAAACGAAGGCAATCACGCCCACGTCCGCACGCGAATGCACGCTCTGCGAACTGGTATCAGCATCGCTTGATTTGCTTGCGTGCATGCATGCACATGTCCTTGCGTAGTTGCCCGGCTTGTTTGCGTGCTTGTTGGGCCCATCCTCTCTCTGGTGTTGGTCTCATCTATTTGTTTGTTGTTCCTCTTATTCAGGGCACGTACAAAGCGACAATCGGGCCGGAAGCGTGCTCCGTGTGGACAGAGTGCAACGCTGACCAGTACGAGAGCGTCAGCCCAGACGCCAGCACCAACAGGAAATGCACAGATGTACGCCGCAGTGTGACCTGGCGAAGCTTTGCTTGCTCTGTCAAGCTCGTTTGATGGGTTGTTTTGCTTTGGAGGTTGCGTTAGTTTTGGTTTTGGGCCATTTCTCCATTTCTTACGATTTCGTGTGTTGCGTGTGTCGCTGAACCCGACTGTCACGCGCATCGCACGTGTCGTCCCTCTGCAGTTGACGGTGTGCGGTGCCGATGAATTTGAGCTTGAGGCGCCCACAGAGACGCGCGATCGCGTGTGTGCGGACTGTAGCGTGTGCCCGCCAACCCATGAGGAAACCATGCCCTGCACCGACACTTCAGATACAGGTGCGCGCCTTGTTGCTTGTGTCGTTGTCAACTGGGGGGGGGGGGCGTGTGTGTAGACATGGAAACATGGAAACATGGAAACAAATGCGCAGAACCAAAGGCGAGGAGTTGGGGGGGGGGTTGTGCTGAACTGAACTGTGCACATCACGCCGTCACTTGTACTTCAGACTCGCCAGCGTCGCACCGTGTTTCCTCTTGCCTTACTGCTTGTACCTCACACGCATGTCCTCGCCTCGGGTTTGCAGTGTGCCTGGAGTGCAAGACGTGTCCGCCCGAAGAATACCTTGTTGTGCGCTGCTCCAACTCCACAGACGGAGGTGCGCATGCGCCACGTGCCTGTATCTGTGCACATGCACACATGCGTGAATATGTGTGCGTGTGCGCGTACGTAGTTTACACATGCATGCTTGTGCATGTTTGAGTATTTGCTGTATGTGTTGTTCTGCAGCATATACGCAACGCGGCATCTAGTTCGGGATGTCTCTCGTCCCTTTTTCACTGAAAGCTCACGGCCAGCACTCCACCCGTCGTCGTTGTTGCTGTTGTTACCTGCTTGCATTGGCCATGACAGTGTGCGGCGCGTGTGACACCTGTGGGTCGGGCCAGTACGAGATCAGCCCATGCAAGGACAGTCGAAACCGCGTGTGCGCGGACACAACCCCGTGCACGGAAACACAGTTTGAGTATCAGCCCCCCACCGTCACGACAAACCGTGTCTGCACCAACTTCACGGTGTGCACGCCAAACGTGCAGGTACAGGAATTTACACATGCTATGTGTATGTGCGTTGGCGCATCTGGGTGCGTGCGTGTACGTGTACGTGTTTGTGTGTATGTGCGTTGTGGACTCGCTTTCCCTTCTGTTATTCATTCATCTGTTATTCATTCATGCTTTGCTCTGCCACCTTCAACATGTCCACAGTACGAGGCTGTTGCTCCCACAGCGACAGGCGACCGCATGTGCGAAGACATCAGCCCGTCGTGTTCTGCTGGTTATGAGCAGACACAGGATCCTTCGTCCACAACTGACAGGTGCGGCGCTGCTCACCACCATGTGTGTATGTATGTGTGCGTGTGCGTGTGTGTGCCTGCAAGCAAGGGTGTGCCATCTCCTGTCGGTGCATGACCACACCTAAGATTCTACCAACTTCGTTCTTTGTGTCTCACGCATGTACATGGCTCGTCGACAACACACACACACATACACGCGCACGCACACACACACACACACACACACACACGCACACACGGGCACACAGGGAATGCCGCATGTGCCCTGCTGGGACGATTGATCACGACAGCGATCCACTGACACCGTGTGTTGGCTGCCCCACTGGCACGCACGTGCTTGCTGGATCTTTCGGAGAATGCTCGCAGTTTGAATGCGTTCCTGGTGCGTACGCACCTCTCGTTTCATGCATCTGAGCCTGTCTGTTTGCGGTTTGCTTACCGTGTTCCCATCTCACAATTAAGACGAGCACGCGGAGGGGCTGCAACAACGTACACGTGTATGATTGCTCGCTCCATACATTCTCTCGTAAACCACTCACACACACAAACAAACAAACAAACACACACACACACACTGTGCTGATGACCAGGCAAAGCGGATTTGGACAGAAACGCTAGCACCCATTGTGAAACGTGTCCGAGTGGAACGTTCCAGAACCTTCATGGGCAGACCGAATGCAACCCATGGTCCAGCTGTCCACCAGGAACACAGGCCGTGCCAGGCTCTGCCTCCACCGTGAACGATCGCCAGTGCGCTTCGTGCGATTTGGGCGTCACCTTCAGCGACACCAACACCACCGCGGAGCCCTGCCGTGACGTGACGGTGTGCCCAGCCGGCTATCACGAAGACACACCACCAACCCTCACATCAGATCGTGTCTGCGTCCCCTGCCCAAGCGGCACGTTCTCTGCCACGGTGGGCCAGGGCCTGTGCCACGAGTGGCACGTGTGCGAGGCTGGCAGGGGCGAAACAACTGCGCCAACGTCCTCTAGTGACCGCGTGTGTTCGCTGTGCCAGTTGGGCACCACCTACCAGCCGCACGACAACGCCACCACGCCGTGTCTCGTCGTGTCAGAGTGCAACCCCGGGTTTGAGGAAACTGAAGCCCCAACCCTCTCCACGTGCGTTGTTGTGTTGTGTTGTGTTGTGTGTGTGTGTGCGTGTGTGTGTGAATGCTGTCGTGGTTGCACATGTTGTGCTGTGCTGTGGCAGCTATTATTTGCTGTGTACTTTGCACACTGCCATGTCGAATGCGAGTGGATTCGTGTGTTGAATATCAGCAACACGCACACCTCGTGCTTTTGTGTTCACAGGGACCGGGTGTGCCAGCAGTGCGTGCTCGGCGAGACGTTCAAGGCCGGTGTGGGTGAAGGTGACTGCCAGCTTGTCAGGTGAGCTGCACCTAAAGCAGTGATGGTGGTGGTGCAATATGACGTTGTTGATGTTGACAATTTGAGTACGTAGGACTCACCCGTTGCTGTCTGCTGCTCGTCATGCTCGCCATCATCATTAGCTCTTGCCCACCTGGAAAGGAGCAGAAAACAGCACCAACGCTGTCCACAGATCGAGAGGTGCGCCTTCATGCTTTTCATCTTGCCATCCAGCTTGTTCCATCTGCTGGCTTCTCCTGTCCATTCCTTTGTGTGCCGGGGTGTGCTTACTCACCACAATCCGCTGCATGTGCTGAATCAACTCGCTCAACACACACACACACACACGCACGCACGCACACATACACGCACACACGCACACACGCACACACACGCACGCACGCACGCACACACACGCCACGACAGTGCCAACAATGTCAGCTGGGCGTGACCTTCAAGGCGCTCGCTGGACAGGCGCCATGCATCACCACAACGGCCTGTGGCCCCGGAAAGTACATGACCGTTGCGCCAACAAGGTCGTCTGACCGCCAGTGCATGACGTGTGAGTCTGGCAAGTTCAAGTCGAGCGCCTCCAACCAGGACCCGTGTCTCCTTGTCCGCCCGCCATGCGAGGAAGGGGAATACCAATCACGCAACCCCACTCCGAGCTCGTACGTGGTTGTTTGCCTGTGAGCGGTTGTCTTGCACCTGCGTGCCCATGTGTCATTGTTGTCGTTGTTCTCGTGGTGGCAGTGGTTGAGCTGACGCTTGTATTCCAAGTCAACGGGTGTTTGCGCTTTGCACTTTGTGCGCTTCCTTGCATTTTGTGGTCGGGGATGCTCACGACACCCTCGTGGTCTTTACATCTGTCTCTGCTGCGCTACTCTCTTTTCATTCGTGCTGCGACGCAGTGACCGGGAGTGCAGCGCCATCTCCACGTGTGCAGAGGGCTACTTTGAGTTTCTGCCCGCAACAGCAACATCCGACACGCAGTGCGAGCAGTGCCGTCAGTGCCCGGAGCAGCACATTCAAATTGCCCCATGCAACCGCACCACAAACACACAGGTATTGTGTATGCGTGCATGTGTGTGTGTTGATGTGTAGGTTCATGTGCTGGCATGTTCAGGTGTTCCCTCTCCTGTCCTCACACTCAATTCCATGATTTCCCTCTTGCTCCAACCCATCACACACGCAACTTTCCTCACGCTCTTCCTCACTCGTATGCTTCCTCTCTCTCTCTCTCTCTCTCTCTCTCTCTCTCTCTCTCTCTCTCTCTCTCTCTCTCTCTCTCTCTCTCTCTCTCGCACACACACACACTTGCACTGCCTGACCTCCTCAGTGTGAGGGGTGTAGTTCGTGTCCGTCGGGTCACTTTGCGTCCCGCGCATGCACAACGTTCAATGACACCGTGTGCAAGGTGTGCTCCTCGTGTGCACTGGACGAGCAGTATCATCTGCAGCCATGCACGGAGACAAGTGACACCGTGTGCGCACCTCGCAGCACGTGCCAACCTTGGCAGTACGATGCACGGGAGCCCAACAGCGTGCTTGATCGCCTGTGCACCAACATCACTGCCTGCAAGCAAGGCGAGGAGTACGAGACCGCAGAACCTACGGCAACAAGCGACCGCGTGTGCTTGCAGGCAACGGAATGCGAGCTGGGGACGGAGCTGGTGAGTCCGCTCACGCCCACATCCGACCGCGTGTGTCGTGCGTGCCCACGCGGCTTCGCTGACCACGACCTGGACCCGAGCACACCATGCGAGGCGTGCGCTGTTGGCACGTACAGTGACGAGCAGCAGTATGGGCGGTGTGAGCAGTGCCGTCTTGGCACAAGCGAGGAAGACGCCGACCCTCGCACGCCGTGCACGACTTGCGAACCAGAGTCTTACCAGAACAGGATTGTTCAGGTATGCAGTTTTTTTTTTGGGGGGGGGGGAGGGGGAGGGGCAGTTGCGTTCATGTGACCGTGGTTTTGTGTGGTGAACAGTGGGTTCGTGCTTTGTGTGTGTGTGTGTGTGTGTGTGTGTGTGTGTGTGTGTGTGTGTGTGTGTGTGTGTGTGTGTGTGTGTGTGTGTGTGTGTGTGTGTGTGTGTGTGTGCGTGCGCGCGCGCGATTGCTTCCGCGTATGGATGTCAGTGTGCTCTGCTGTGGTACGTGCATGCATTCAAGACCATGATGTACGCTGCGTTGGGAACGTGCTGAGCATGTGTTGTGTGCTCATCGCAGGCTTTTGTTGCGATGCTGTTGCTTTGTGTTTGGGTTTAGGTTGGCTGCATGTCTGCGCGCGTGTGCGGCGTTGGGTTTGAGGAGGCCCTGTCACCAACAGTGACCTCGGATCGCGTGTGTGTTGCGTGCAGCAACCATACGTTCAAGGCAGTTCCAGGAAACGACATTGAGTGCAAGCCCTTCAGCAAGTGCGGCCCAGGCACGCAGCTCGTCTCACACGGCACAGCGACACACGACACGCAGTGTGAAGTGTGCCCGCTCGGGAAGTGGAAGGACGATGACTCGGAATTCCCCTGCAACCCCGTGCACACGTGCTTTGATGGCGAAATCACCGCCATCCGCCCAACACCTTCATCTGGTCTGTTTGTGGTTGTGGGTGTGGGTATGTGTGGGTATGTGTGGGTATGTGTGTGGGTGTGGGTGTGGGTGTGTGTGTGGGTATGTGTGTGGGTATGTGTGTTTGCAATATCTGCGAACCTTTGACTTGTTTCAAGATGCACACAGCATCCTTCTCTGTCTCTGTCTCACTCGCACTCACACACATCCCTTCCTTCCACTCTTCCCCGTATCGCCGCTCTCAACAACACAATTCCCATCTATCCTCCTTTCGCCTGCCTCCCTCCCACCCTCTCGAACAGACCGGGTGTGCAGTGCGTGTGCGTTTGGGACGTATGCCACGTCGAGGAGCGACGATGCCGTGTGCGCAGACTGGACCGACTGCAACCGTGCCGTCCAGTTTGAGTTTGTGGCGCCAACATCATCCAGCGACAGACAGTCAGTTTCGCCGCACGAGAGAGAGAGAGAGAGTGTGTGTGTGTGTGTATGAATGTGGGAGGATGTATGCCAAGGATGTTCGAGAGAGACTGTGGGTGCCGTGTCCGTACGTACGTACGTGTGTGTGTGTGTGTGTGTGTGTGTGTGTGTGTGTGTGTGTGTGTGTGTGTGTGTGTGTGTGTGTGTGTGTGCGTGAATGCGAACGGAACTTGCTCGCTCACTCGCTCACTCCTCACTCATTATGTGCCGTGCACATTCCTCTTCCCCCACCCCCAACCACAGGTGCGCTGATCTGAGGACGTGCACGGAGACGCAATACGAGGATGCAGCGCCAACGGCGACAACAGACAGAGGTGATGAGCGCGCGTGCGAATGGCTGTGGAATGTGATTTGCGTTGTGTCCTGTGTCTTGTTGAGTTGCGCTGATCGCTGCTGGAACTCTTCTGATTGCACACATGGCGGTGCTCACACCCATATCTATCGCCTCTCCTGCTTGCGATCCCTTGTCTGCCACTGCCACTGCCACTGATGGATTGCCTTGCGTTGTCTCACCTACTCCCTTCCCCCGTGCTTGTCTACAGTGTGCCGCGCGCGCTCTGAGCTGCACACCTTCCGCGTGTGGATGAATGCGAGCTACGTGGAGTATGCGCTTGCCTCGCCATCCCACGAACTGGAATCGGCGCTCGAGTCCACCTTGCGGGAGCGCGTGGCGGCTGTGCGCGGATACGTCGAAGTTGTGCTGGAAGAAAATTCCGTTCTCGCTGAAGACCGGACAGTTGCCAATGTGTCCGCGCGCTCCGTGGCCGCACGTGCCCAGGTGGAGGCGCTGGGCGAGTTTGAGGTTGAGGTTCAAGGCACAGCCATCCTCTCTGTGCTGTACACGGAGGACGAGGCCATTGCGGCTCGCATGGGCACGTAGTCAGCACCGACTTGTTCAGATGCATTGTGTGGTGCTGCACAATGGACAAAGCCCACCTTTTCTCACACGGCATGCGCAACTTCACCACCGCCTGGCCGTCGTTTGGTGAGTGAATGAGCGATGCTCTGTGTGTGTGTGTGTGTGTGAGATTGAGGGAGATTGTGTATATGTGTGCGTGCGTGTGCGTGAGTATGCGCGTGTGCGTGTGCGTGTGTGTGCGGAAGTGAGGGAGTGTACACACAGACTCACTCACACACATACACACACAAGCACACTCACTCACACACACACACACACAACACACAAACCGACTCACTCACTCACTCACTCACACACAAACACACATACATACACACAAACCCACTCACTCACTCACTCACTCACTCACTCACTCACTCACTCACTCACACACACACACACACACACTCGCTCACTCACACACACACACATACACACACGCGTACCTTTGTAGTACCCGACGTTGCCTCGCTTGGAGCTCATCACTCCACGCTTAGCACCACGCAGTGCCGTGCGCACAACACCAAACATCTTCCTCGTTCGCTCGTGGTCTTTGTCAACGAATTGTGCGCGTGTTTTTGAGAGAAGGAGAAAGAAGAGACAATCACACACACACACGCACGATTCTGTGTAACAACAAGCGCCACTCCAACCACACCAACCAACCAACCCACCCCACGAGCGACGAACGTCAAGATGGAGAGCATGGGCGTGCCGCAGCTGCAGCTGTTCAACTCGTACACCCGCCAGAAGGTAACGGAGTGAGTGGTGCGTGTGGAGGAAAGGGAGAGGAGCGCAAGTGAACGTGCGAGTCGTGAGATGTGTGGAGGTGTGTGCAGTGGAGCAGTGCTGATCCAACCACCACTGGTTCAACCATCACGCACTGACTGGCTTGGCCCACACAGGAGGTGTTTGTGCCGCGGGAGAGGAACCGTGTCACGTGGTATGGCTGCGGTCCCACGGTTTACGACGCCTCGCACATGGGGCACGCACGGTGTGTCTCTGTATGTGTGTGTATGTGTGTGCATGTGTATGTGTGTGCATGTTTGTGTGTGTGCATGTGTGTGTGCTTGTTGATGTGTGACAACTCTCTTTGTACACGCGTGCACGCTCTGCACACGCACACTACGCGCACGCTTGCTGTGCACATGCACACTCTGCATACGCTTGCTCTGCACACGCACACGCTGCTCTGCTGTACCTCCTGAACCGTCGTTCATTCTGATTCTCGGCCCCCCTTCCACAAACATACCTTTGCCGTGCTCGCTGTACACAAATGACTCGCCGTCCTGCGTCACCACAGTGCGTACATCACGTTCGACATCATGCGCCGCGTCCTCCGCGACTACTTCAAGTACGACTGCGAGTATGTGATGAACATCACCGATCTCGATGACAAGGTATGAGCGAGGAGCAATGAAGAAACAGAGCATGCACGCGAACCATGCATCCAAACCTACACGTATCTCTTCTTGCTCTGTCCTCGCTCCACCCCCGACCACACACACACACACACACACACACACACACACACACACACACACACACACACACACACACACACACACACACACACACACACACACACTCACACACACTCACTCACTCACACACACTCACTCACTCACACACACTCACACTCACACTCACACGCACACTCACACATTTCGCTCGCCTCGTTTTTTGCCTTGCAGATCATCCTGCGTGCTCGCCAGAACCACCTGTTTGAGCAGTACATTGCTCAGGAGACGCTCGACCGCGACACCGTGCTCCAGGACATCAAGGAAGCCCTTGGTGAGCGCATGTCTGCACATACATGCCTATTCTCTCGGCCTGGTTTTGCCCTCGCATCTGCTTCCCTGTGTCCCTGCCTCCCTGCCAATGTGCACGTCTGTTTGCCGCGCGTGCTTCCATCTGCTCACCACCGCTCACCCCTCCCTCTCTCCTCTCACACCCTTTCGGCCACGTGCTCCCGCCCCAACCAGAGCGCCTCGACGTGAAGATTGCCGACCCCGAGGAGGAGCCCGAGAAGAAGAAGATGTATGGCAAGGCCAAGGACGCCGTGCAGGCCGCCACTGTCGCGCTGCCAGAGTCGCCAGCACGCGAGGACCTTGTCGCCCTGTGCACTGCCGCAAAGGACCCGCTCTCCGCCATCCTCGACAAGCGCAAGGGCTCAAGTAATGCTCAATGGCCAAGGGGGAATGGAGTGTGTGTGTGTTTGTGTGTATTTGTGTGTTTTATTTGTGTGCGTGTGTGTCTCAACCAACTAAGCGTATACACTGCAGCTTGTTCGCCATCCACTCACCACTTCACCACTTCACCACGTCACCACCTTACGTTGCCGCTTTCCTTTCGACTGTCAGCCGTGTCGGACCACTCCATCTTCTCCTCCGTGTCCCGCAAGTGGGAGGCCGAGTTCCACCGCGACATGAACGCCCTCAACGTACGTCATGGAATCGGTTGCGCTGCTCGCCTTTTGTCATGCTGGAAGCGATGATGAAATGGTGAAACACGCACACACAAACACGTACACATGTGCACCCTCACACAAGCGCACACCCTGACATACACTCACACGACTGCACGCACGCACACACACACACACACACACACACACACACACACACACACACACACAAACACACACGCGACGCAAAACGCCATGTTGCGTGCGTGGTGGCAGGTTGAGGCACCAGACGTGCTCAAGCGGGTGACGGAGTGCGTGCCTGAGATTGCCGCGTTTGTGCAGCGCATCATCGACAACGGATACGGCTACGAGGCAAACGGCAGCGTGTACTTTGATGTCGCCGCCTTCCGCGGCAGCAGCGAGCACAACTACCCGAAACTGCTCCCTGAGGCCGCTGCCAACGCCA